CTCCCGACCAGCATCTCGCATTGGGACAGTTGCTGGCACAAGAGCCAAGAGACAACTCAGTATAGGACGAAACCAAGCTAGCACTGCGAGACCAGGACGAGTGTAATAGCGCAGTGAGTTGTAGTTGGAAAATCTGCAGATAGTAGGGGCTAGCAAACCTACTTGAAACTTCACCGTTGGGAAGTTGTGGCAGATTCGTTGGAGAAAAGCGAGGAGAATAAATGCACCAATTGAATGTCCTAGTAGCAAGACTCTCTCATGCTTGGTGGGATCGATGCGTCTAGAAAGAAGTCTAACGTGGTGATCCACTTGCTCCTGAAGGGTGGTGAACTGTTGCTGACTGTGTTGGGAGTGTCCTGCATGCCCTTCCACCAGAACCTCAGCCCCCTTGAGCTTGGTTACCAGCATCATAGCAAACTCGCGGTAGACAGACACAACCGCCGGGTTTCCTGGTATGAGGACGATGAGCATGCCGGCATAGGGCGCGTCTTCGGAGATCTGCCTCTCGATGAGCCAGAAAGAATCAGAGTTCACATCACTGGTGACCCGTCTTAACAGCAAGTGACGTTTATTTTTACTGCTGCCCCCCGAGGCCTTCTGGACTCTAGTGCAAGATTCCACGGAGACGTCAGAAGCAGTTGTAATAGCAGATGTACTGTCACACTTGTTAGAAGCTGATCGGGTTAGCTTAACAGTCATGGTTGCAAAAGAAAATAAGCTGAGAACAAGGTTTGTCAAAGAAGAAGAGGCCTAATGACTAACTCAAAATTTATGCGAGTGTTTGCCCGAGTGGTTAAGGGGTTGGACTTAAGATCCAATGAACACGGTTCGCGTGGGTTCGAACCCCACAGCACTCATTTACGCAACCATTTATCCTCGGCGCGATCAAACGCAACTTTTACCGTAAATAATTTACCAATCGAGGAAACACTAACCACTAGTGCATGCACAGCCACTTTCAATGAACACTTCCCTTCCCTCAAACGCTTAGTCATAATCACCCAAACAAACCCTGACCTGAAATCAATCGCTCTCACGAACCTATCGATGCATTCCCCGACCTACCGATGAGCCTCCAAGTGCCAAGTCACCGCCTGCTCGTCGACCTGCTTAGCATCACACCCGAGCCTCTCCATCGCATATCCGTCGAGGTGGCTACATCTACATACATGATGATGCCTTAGGAATCCTTCTCGCCCGGCTCAATCAATTCATACCTGCATTGCTCAATGAGCAACTTCCCGACCATCGTAGTGACGAACAGCATGCTTTCCTCAAAGTCCTACCCAGCGTGCCCAACTTCAGCTGCCTTATCAACCTCGACTGAATGCCCATCGTTGTCTATAATAACGTCAAGGCCTCTGCAGGGGACGAGAGAGCGGATCTGTAACACCACTACCTGCATCTGTTCGTCTGGTCTCGAAATGATACCACTCCTTCGCCCAATCATCAGCCGCCCTGATGTGTTGAATCACCACGCAATACAGAAGCGAACCAAATCTTCCCATGGCATTTTAACGGAGTGAAAAATCAAGTCCACAGTGCCACATGCTCTCATGCCGTCTGTATCGCCCATTTTCGGACCTATTTTGAATCCTCATCGAAAGACCCTGAAGATGCCACTGCTGGATCCACTTTTTACATCTTTCATAAGCTCCTAGTGTCAGTGAGAAATTTGACAACCAGACGAAAGCCACCGAAATATATGCCCGCCTCCTAAACAGAGTTCAAAAACCCTTTTAGTTCTATCAGTGTTGGAGTAGGAATATATTTGTTCGCTTTCGTCACTAATTATTATAGAAATATACACACGAATGTACGGAAATCAATGAGCATCTACCAGAATTTTCATGTTTTCACTGACACCTTGACGTGCATGTGCATATTTTCCCCCACTCCTGCAGTCAACATCTCATCTAGACATAATACTACCCCCAAGAGTTGAACCAGGGACCTTTAGAATACTAACCACCAACCATCCCCATCTGGACTAACTCTCACACCTATCACCATTACATCTGCGCCTTATACCACTTCACTAATACCCTTACTACCTACCAGACAGAAGAACCACCAACACCTTCCGCTCTGTTTTCCTAGCCAATTCTGATACAACAAACAACACAGAGCGTGTCAAATGGGAGAGGCGAGAGCGTGTCAACTCCGTAATGAAAAATATTCATACCAGCATGCACGGGAGTTTCGGAGTATATTTTCCAATGTAGTAGTGGGGGAGTGCGAAATACTCATATCACGTGCACATGCCTTGAGTATTGATGACAATGAAGGAATTATCGCTGGTTTCTGGTAAATTGGAAATTTTGATGAAAAATTTCCGAAATTTCCGTCAAAAATTTCGTCTGTACACTTCTAAGTCGTGTATTTCTATAATGTAGTTTAGAAAACTCCTAAACTGAGTAGCAGTTGAGGAAAACAAACGTATATTTTTCCAACACTAGTTGGGCAAATTTCAATGATGAACTACGTCACGATCAGTGTTGGAAAATATGCACATTGTGACAATAGAATTTTGGAGGAGATTTTTGGAGATTCTCGTTGGTTTCTTTTCTACACTTCTGCCCCGAATTCGCATAAGACTTCCATACAGGTGAGGTAATTTCAGAGCTCAGTTGAGGAAAGCCAACATATTCCCCAACACACTCATCACGATCAACTACGTGTGTTGATGAAGTTATCGTTGGTTTCTTTTTCTACACTTCTAAATCGTGTATGTCTTCGAAGAGGAAATGGCATCAGGCATCAAAAATGATATGTTGTCAAGGTATGAATGCAGGTGCAAGAAGTTGAAGTAGAGCCCAACTTGTAGATAACGCAAACCAGACCTTGAATCTTAGAGTACACTTCCAGTGCACAGTAGATACGATAGAACCGTAAATGCTTACGGACAATTCCGCACTCACTTATGAGTAGTGATCTTGCAACACTCTAGCGTGCTAGCTACACAGCTTAGCGTACTACACAAATGGAGCAATGGTCACAACACACAAGACGGGCCGAAGGTTTTCATGGCGAGTGACGCTTCTGGGACATCGTCCCATAACATCCCCTCCCCGCAAAACCTCGGCACGAACTTAAATTAAAAGATACGCTAATCATCATATAGTCTATCATCATATCTGCTTTATCATCGGCAATGGCTGGCAACGGGCCGAACTGCAACTAATTACAGGAGCAATACGGGCCGAACAAGTCATACAGGCTCAGGAACGTCTCCACCAATGTTGTCGAGCAGAGTCTTCAGTCCTATCCACGTCATCATCGGTTTTGGAAGCCATCCAGAACGGGCCGCACTACTGATGGAAAGGGCCGAAAACCACTTGGGGGAATATCTAGCATCGCTGTTCGGAGCGACATTAAACAATTGCCCGTTACGGTCATGAAGCTTACGTACCACACCATTGATATCAGTAACCGGGCGAGGCCGAGAGTTACGGCCAAGTCCCATAAACTCGTCTGCCGCGTGGTCGTAGTTACGGGCCGAAACCGGGGTAGGTGGGTCTTGTTGGTTAAAGGTGTCGAAGAAGCACCTTAGGTTGTCTCCACACTTTTTGGGTTGAACATTGAGGAGTTCCTGAAGTCTGGCTAATACACCAGGCATTTAGATAACAGCCTACAACCGAGAGATAAAACATCAGTCTCAGAATAGCAGGTTAAATGACAAACTTATGAAAAGCACCAATAATATACCTCATTCTTGCCAAACATTCTAGCAAAAACGGTCAATTGTGCGTGCGCCATGTACGCACGAACACGAAGATTCGACTTAAAACGGTTATCGAAAACTTCGAAACATGCCTCGACCATGCCATCCATAGGCAGGTATGGGAGGCTAGCACTGAGTACTCACAAATTACAAAGAACGTTCAGTGAAAATCATCCACTCCAATATTCCAAGTGCACTAACGTGGGTGTACGCACACCCAAGAGACAAGGGCCTGATAGCACAGCCCTACTAGGACAATACGATCCACAACTTGACGTCAATTACAATACCGGTCTTAAATACAATCAAATATGTCAGAGATCTCAAATACAATTAAGAAGTTACAAATCTTGAATACCATCAAGCAGAACTTCAATACCAAAACTTAGAGGTACCTTAGTAGAGTGAGACAATAAAATCCATCACTTCCCCTCCCCGCAGAATCCTACTGCAGGGTGTGAAGGAGGATTTAGCACTACTAATTACTTAGTGCTACCTCTCGAAGGTCTCCAAGAGGGGGAGAACTTCTGAGGTGGACGAATCACACGACCAATACGAGTAGTACGGGGCGGCGGCGAACCTGGGGGAGCAGACTCAGGCAAAATCGCAGGTTCTACAACTTGAGGTGAGCGGTCTTGTTGATCCATAACTCCCGAGGACAAATGGGGAATATTAGAACCACTTGAACCAGCTGATATGGCAGAAAGCATTTGACTACGGGCCGAAGAGGACGGTCGTGATCCGACAGATCGGGCCGAAGCATCCGCAATAGAACCATTATCATCAGGGCTGGAACCAGCAGACCGGCCAGACTGAAGCACCGGATGAGATCTTCGCGACGAAGATAACCCTTCACTCGGCAATAGACTTGTGTTTTCAGAAGGAAGACTAGGAATCACCGGACCAGAAGCATCTTCGATTAGCATGTCACCATCTCGAGGGCTACGAACTTCTCCAACCTGTGGTAGTGGTTGTAGCACATCAGTATCATCTTGAGCAACCCAATATGCCGAAGGTTGAGGCTGATGTAGCCTATCATGAGAAGGAGAACCCATCTCAGCGACATATGACGAAACTTCATCGGAATCTGCAAAATGATCCAAATGGTCTTCTTGCGATACCGGACCCGTTCTAGGGATTTCCTTGAAAGGATACAAGGGAACCCTTGGAGCTTCATCAACAGGAGGTTCCATTCTCACAATGTTGAGCTGAACCGGTATCAGTTCTGGTTGAACTGGATCTGCCAATATATAGTCGGTAGAAATGACCTTCTCCTGTAGATCTGGGAAATGTCGAACTACCACCGTCTTGTTATTAGATCCAGCAACAAACTTGAAGATGTACCAGTCTGCCTGCCATTTAGGAAGCAACTTGCGGGCCGGAGCATTGTTGCCATGGAAAATCTTCAGGCGAACCCGTTGACCAACGTAATGTCGTCGATGAGAAGGTTGTCTTAAGGCTGCCAAACGGTATGAAGCACCATTAGCAGTAGCCCATTCATCCATAACATCATCAATTTTGGCACGTGCCCGGGCCAAATAGGCTGCATAGCTCTCAGGATCATGCATCAAAGATGAGTATTGATATAGACTTGGCAATAGCATTTGAGGAGCTTCTCTTCCAAACATAAGATAGAAGGGGGTAAATCCAGTGGCCGAATGAGGAGTCGAATTATATTGCCATAGGACGCCTCGTAGGTGGCCTTGCCAATCCCCTATGGTCTGAGTAGCCGTTCTGAGCAAGTTCAAAATGGTAGAATTAAAACGTTCCACATGACCATTTGAGCTCGGATGATGCGGAGTAGACCGTACCTTAGTGACCCCCAAAATCTTCATAACATCATGAAAGATTTCACTCTCAAAGGCAGGACCTTGGTCACTCAATAACCTCATAGGCGGACCAAATTGTGAGCAGAGTTGCAGCAATGGTGCCAAAGCATCAGTAGCTCCTTCTCCTTTTACAACATAAGCATCGGCCCAACGTGTGAAATGATCCACAATAACCAGCAGTTTGCTAGGGCCTTGGTCTGATGGGCCAACAAACAAGAAGTCCACAGCAAAAGTATGCCATGGTGCTCCTACCGGAAAGGGCACTAAGGCTGCCGGGGGTTGCTGCCGAGCTTTAATGGTCAAACAGCGGGAACATTGTGCCACATAATCTGTGATATCCACGTGCATACCGGGCCAAAAACAAAGCCTTCGCATACGATCCCA